TAGATTTAGTTAAAATCCGAAAGGAAATATCAACGCTGATGACGAAAGGATATTCATTCAACACAATGAAAATAAATCGAGCCATAAACAGCTGAGTGCGGCTACGCTGCTGTTACTATTGCGCGCCGGTAATTGTAATGTTCGCTTTGAATAAAAAGATAAAGAGCAAATCCTTTATAAGTAACGTGTTTCACGTGGTATTAATTTTCTATAGATGCGGCGCTTAGATGTTAATAGAACGCTATGTATCGAATTCTCATATTTTATTTAGTTAAGCTATTATCGTTTGATTTACGGCGTTTCGTTTCTAATGTGTCGACAAAGACAGTTTAGAAAATGGGTTCTGATAGCAACCAAATTTAGATATGTCCTCTGGTGCTCCCATGCATGCACCAAATTTGCAAGATTTTAATTTTTCAAATACCCTGTACACTAAAATAATTTTGAATAAAGAGATAACAGAAATGTAACCTCCCAGTAGTGTATGGAGCAAAATTACTATAACCATTGTTTTTCAACAATCCTATAACCAAAAATGATTCAAGTGTTTTGCCATCTTTTCAAAAATACTAAAATCACTTTTCTAAAATGCTGATAATGCTCTATGTTGTTTTGCCCTGTAAAATGACAGATCTTGCCGGTTTGAACTGGTTTTCTGTAATCTTACTGTAAATTTAATTAGCTGTAGTCCATTTGTTATTACTGTTCCGATATGTAATGAACCCCACTGAATGCAGCGTTAACTTTTTTTACCTCAAGTCGTCGCTTAAACATAAACAAACTGCAACGTATGATGGTTGACGTGCAGAATAAGAATAAACAAAATAAGGTCAAGGAATGTTAATTGAAGTGAATTTCGCTTGCATCCAGTTTTTGTTTACAGCAATGTTATTACGCCTATCTGATGACATCTCTTGCTAGCGAAATTCATTTCAATTAACATTCCTTGACGTAAGCGATACGACTTAGAATCGCTTAACCGTTGCGGTACCTTATTTTGTTCATTTGTATTCTGCACGTCAATAATAACACGTTGCAGTTTGTTTGCGAGAATTGTTTATGTTTAATGGACGACGTGAAGTAAACAAAAAGTTATCGCTCCATTTAGTGGGGTTAATTCGAGGGTTAATTACATATCGCAATAGTAATAACGGATGGAAAATACTGACGGACTATTTGTGCAGTGTTTTAAATTTTCAAAAATTTTGAATAATTTTGGATTTGTTTTTTGCACATGTCTAACATTTTAAAAAATCCACATTTCGATAATATTTTCAAATTTTCGGCTTAGTTTTCGACATTCATTCGCATTTATTTCCATATAGGTAGATTACTTATTACAATACTGGTCTCGTTTGGTGTAATATAAATTAGACTCTCCTCTCGCACTTTTCCAAAACTTTCGACACTTCATAAAATTCTTAAAAATTTCCAACTGGACTGTGTAGCTCAGTGGTAGAGCGGTGGGATACATAGCCGGAGGTCGGGTGTTCGAACCTGGGCTGAGGTAAAAATTTTTTATCTGTGGCGGAATTTCCTTAGATTATTTTCGAGCATTCTGCTGGATACTCCGAATTAGGGTTTCCCTCGGGTTTTCCTGTAGTTTTCTTAATTGGCAAGATAAATACCGGAGTAGTATGGAAGAACTTAAGACCTTCTGCAGGGGCACCTCTAAACAGCATTATGTGACCTGCCACTCTGTACTTGGGCAAAAGCCTGTTAAAGGTCCAGAACAAGAGTCACAATCAATAAATTTCGATACATTTGCAACATTTCCTTCAGACCTCTTACCATTTTTTTTGCGCACAAATTTGAAAAAAATGCCGCATTTTGTCCGTTTCTCTTGATTACTGGGTCCTATAGGAGGCGGTGATGAAAGGATTAAAGGTCAAAATCACGCGTGGCGACGTTGGCAGACCTTAAAATGATTTTGTATGCGAACTTTGGTATATCTCGATTCGTGAAGCCGGCCCTGAGGACGCATGTTACTCTTTCCATCTTTTTCATGGACTGTTCCTTCTATACGGAAAATGAGTTCATTTCTATTGTGTTCACGCTACCTTGAAGGTGTGTCAGACGGCCTTATATTTTATTGTCTTAAGCTTCCCCTCCCTCCTTTATGAATTACTTCCCGAAATGCTATTCCTGAAAGTAGAACTTTTGAGAATTGTGGGGGGGGGGGAGATCGACATGCGTTCTGCCTTGCATAGTATTCTCGAGAGTATTCTAATTTCTATTAGTTTATTTTTCTTTCTTTGTGGGTAATTGTGTTATAATTATGCATTTCTATTTGTAAAACATCCGTTTTAGTGGGCGGAAAAATGTTTAAACCTCAGTTGTTTCGGCGCGCTATAAATTCAAATCATACAAGTACAATCGGGCACTCGGGCGGATTCGCGAAAACGCTTAAAAATGAATAGAGAAGGGCGAGCGAAGAGAAAACGATGAGAAAAAGAGTTGAGTTAAGCATGCACGAGTTTTGCGCGCATTTATCAATCTAAAAAGTGAAAAACCAAATCAATCTTTGGGGGCCCCCATCAGCCGGTACAGCAGCTCACCGAAATCAGCCACTCCAGGTACGTGCCCAACTTTTATTTATGTATTTGTATGGTTCGGGCGGAAATTATCATTTAACGAACAAAAAAATATATCTAATTACAAAAAAATTAACTTAAAATACAAACACAAGGTCTCATCGAAAGGAAGAGGTTTCTATGAATTAAAACTTTTCTCCGCGATTCCTTTTTGAAATCTGATGGGGGGTGGGGGGCTTTTTAGAAATTGGTTTTATCTTTCATGGTACTCATTTTAGTTTGCTGTTGGTTACTCTAATTAAAGATCTCAACGAAAGAAATTAATTTTTGCTATAACCACAGTCCTTCTCCTCGACCCTTTATCGTGGTGTGTTTAATTCCTCATATCTCAAGGCCGGAATCGTAATATAACTAATAGATGGCGCCAAAGCGAGGTCTACTACGGCGCTATAGCCCGAGCTGTAGCCCGTCTCACCTTGACTTTACAGTCAGTACAGGCTCTTATGGTTAACAACGATACCAAATATCATTAGAATATGATTTGTAGAAAATGGGCAGCCCGGGTGCGATTCCCGGCTGATGCAGAATTTTTAAAATTTTATAAATTAAGTAAGTAATTAAGTATTTAGCATTTCTTCATTTCGCTAGCGGCTAGACTAATGATGATCGTTGATGTAGGATGTCACACGGGCCCGCAGAACCTGCTATTTCTATCTAGTTTGCAGTCTATATAAATAATTGTTTTAATTTACCATAAACATAAACAAGAACCTACTAATAATCGCTTAACGTGGCTGACATTGTAAAATATTAATTTGCCCTTTTCTTTCTAACGTTCGGGCGTAACAAAGGCAATTGAAATATCTTGACGGGAACGGTTACAAACGGTGAATGAAAGTGGTCATCTGGTGTTTGCGTTAATGATCCAATGCCCGTTGCGTACTTCGTAAAACGTGTTGTTCAGGTTCGGTCTAGCTTGGAATTGGATGGTATTCAGAACGTCGAATATAACACGGTAATCAAGAATAGGTAAATTTGTTCAACTTTAGTGCTAGATGAAAAAGATATTTTTAACTTCCTAAGGCGACATCTTTGTGTATGTTTGTTTAATGGGATGTTTTCGTTAGTAATTGTCCCAGACAAGTATAGTTAGTTTAACATAATGCAAGACGAGCTCTACAGTATAAAGTGCTAATTGTTATATTTATGCTAGGGACAAAAGTTCCGTTTAAATCGAAGCGGGTGATTAGTGGGTTTATGTTTCAACAACATGAATTAGACGACCTCTTCATTTGCACGGATTAAGTAAGCTGCTGTCGTTTAACTTAAACAATACACAGTTGTCGACTTTTATTTATATTAGAAATAAACTTGCGTGTCATTAGGTGTTATACTGAACATTGAATGAAATGAATGAACAAATTAACCGTGTGAAGTTAGCAATAAACATTAACCAGCCAACAATATATTTTGCATATTTCTTGTGAAATTAGCAATAAATATGCAAAAATATGCATATGAATGGAAACATTTCATTTAGGGCTGTTTAGTAACATTTTTTTTTTATTGCCTTTATTTTATAGTGGGCGGAGTGTTAGCAATTTGCTACTCTTCCCACTCAACCCACTATACAATCACAAACAGCCATGCCTTACCTGGGATTCGAACCCAGGACCCTTGTAGCCAAAGTTAGAGCTTCTAACGTAAGTTCTTCTGAGCTACGCATTTTTCAAAAATTATTTTCAAATCGTTCTCCATAATATTATTGATTGCTTGCTACATTTCTTATTTAAATAATTGTACATACAATAGCGTATTTAACTGGCATATACAACCTACATATTCATGCTTGTGTCATAATAGTCCAATTTATATGCTCATTTAATAATATACTATTGTACAAGCTCATTATTTCATATGTATATCATTAAATATTATATTCACTATTTAGTTTTGAAAATACATAAATGGATTGAATGATTGAATATGTGAACTGTGCGAGTGTTCACCATTTGTGTAACAAATTTTTGTACACGTTTCGTGGTGTCTGTTGAAATCATGACCCATTGTTAGTTTAGAATGAATTGTTTGTAAATATCGTAGCGCATTGAACAAGTTACTATTTTTATCATTTTTATTTTTAAAATCCAACATAAAATCATTCGCATTGTTGAAGGTGACATAACAAGTTATATATAAAACGTAGGTAATTTAATTACTTAAAAAAAATCAACACATTTTATCTACCGTGAAAAACTACATCTCAATTATCTAATAAAATCCAATGTTATTCAAGTTGTGTATGTTATTTAATGAGAAATCTAAATATGTGCATACTGTATGGTCTTATCAGAATAAACAATACCTTTAGTAGTAGGCAGGTGTAATATGAACGGGTTAATTGTCTCACGTAGTACCTACCTACTCGCAAACAATTGAAAGTTGTTAATACCCTGTTATTTTCAGATGTCTCATCGACGGAGCAGGAGGAGCTTTTTATTCGTAAACTCCGCCAGTGTTGTGTGCCATTTGATTTTATGGACCCTGTGGCTGATCTCAAGGGCAAGGAAGTTAAACGTTGTACTCTTAATGAGTTAGTAGATTATATTACCGGCGGTCGGGGAGTATTAACTGAGCCCGTCTATCCGGAAATAATTAAAATGGTATGTAGTTTTTCATTTATTATTTACTATCTGGTAATATGTTAAGCTCTGGACATTTTAGGAAATATGATTGCGATTAATAGAAGGTGTCAGAATTTTTGAGCACTTTCCTTTTTATTCACTATTTGTTGGGAATATGAATAGTATAATCTGACAATTTGTTTTCTATTGTAGCTGCACCAAACATAAATGTGTGTTATTAACGGAATGCCTTTCTGGGCTCCACTTGAACGTCAAATGCACTGTGACTGTGAATCACGGACGACAGCTTCTGTTAAACCTATTCATCAACCAGGGATTAGTTTTGTATCAGTCGATGTGCATATTGGAACATTCTTTAGTTCTGATCTTTTGTCATGAGTTTTCGAAAAGTGATATTAAGAACCAAATATTTTTTTTAGATAAGTCGTTTTGAAGCTTTTACCTTACCGAGGTGAACCACTGATGCATATTGAACTGACATCAGATCAGATGAACTTTTATTGCATGATATTGCAAGGTACTTTCGGTTAATGCAAGGCAACTTGGCACACGATGTTTTGGTGCCGTTGCAGAAGATTTCACCCTATGAATCCAACAAATTGTTACCAGGGAGATGGGGGTGGATATGTTTGTATAAAATAAAACTTCCCAGTACAATTCATGGTACCCGAATGGATTTAAGTAATTTTTGAAACCAAAAATACAACCCTCATGGGACAGTGTCCCAGATCACGTAAATTGGACGGGTAACTTTCTTATTATTAGGTAAAGAGAGAGAATTGGTTAAATGTACAATATCCTTGAATGTCATATATCATCGAAAGTGTACAAGATACAAAACCAAAAGTTTTATGTAAAGGTTCCTGTCTTTGATACGTTTAATTTAGAATTGAGGTAAAAAAAAATTCAAAATGGCTACTTTGGAGGAACCACTTGTTGAAGTTAAATAGGCGCGATATTAGATTTTTAGATTACTTATTATAATTTTTAATTCTCTTTTCAACGACTTATGATAGCGTGAGACCAGTTTATCAACGGTTTTTAAATTTTAAACAAGTAGACTGTGATTCTGAAGAATTAAAAAAACAAACAAATTTCAAGGCAACAAAACAATGAAAATAAGTACGTCACATGTTCAAAATACTGGCCGTTGACACCGCTTCAAGGCATTTCGCGATACTTTACGCCTCTAGAACAGCTTCGCACAGTTTGTGTACGATATTATAGTTGTAACTACTCCCATACACTTTGGTCTTTAATGTGCTCCACAGAAAAAAATTCAGCTGATCTAGCTAGTTATCAAACATCAGCATTAGTGGCAACAACAAACACTATTGCCAAATCCATGAATTAAATAATCAACCACACTTTGTGAGTTGTGCCACTTAAATGACTCCTCATTATGCCATAAAATCCATTAATTCCGAATCTTACTTGATTTTGGCGTGAAATCAGGTACACATGTGGATTTTCCTGTGATGAGTAGTGTTTGTGATATCTATTAAACACTCGGCAGTCTCATCTGTCCATAATACTCGACCTCATACTCGACTATGGGAAAGCAGTTATTTTCAATATTCTTACGGATAAACAACCTAGAAAATGTGGTGCTCCCAGGCGCAAAGTTTGAGAAATATTTTGGACAAACCTTGTGTCTTTTTAAAATTCGTGATGCTCTTGTTTTGGAGACACCAGCCTCTGCTTTTCTTCTATTTTTCTAGTTGAAGTACTTGGATTAGCCATTACCATTATGAGCTACCAATCGGTTTTCCCCAATATTGATGAGTTTTTTTAAACATCCATACTGCGGCCTTCTAAATGTTTTGATATATGGTTGTCTTTTTTCCAGTAAATTAGTTAAATAAGTTTCAGCAGCACGCTGAGATTTTTGTAGCACTGGATGAATGTGCAAAACATCGTGGCTCTCAGTAATTGAATATTGTGCCATATTTTTCAATTAACTTTTTGACAGATTATAACAAACTGATAACCTATTGTTTACCCACTTGATTATACATTTTAAAAAAATGTTACCTAACTATATCTTATTCCCAATCTCACGTTATCATACGTTGTTGAAAAGAGATAAAATCTTGGATAAAATATACTATTAAATAATCTAAAAATCAAATATCGAGCTTATTTCACTCTAAGAACTGGTTAAATGTTCCTTAAAAGAAAGCCATCTTGAATTTTTTTGACATCAATTCTAAATTAAGCATATCATTCAAGTGTTGTACCAGTTACATAGTTTACGTTTACACTATCTACATACAGGGTGATTCCTATAGTACCTGCCACCGTTTGGGAGCGTGTAGGTGGTGCGTAGGGGAGTATTTTGATATAGGACACTTGGGGTCGGAAATCTAAAATAAGGGTGCCAGAGCCAAATTTACCTTTTGGAATTTCGCGCCTGTAGGTAGGCAACCCAACCGGTCGGCGGTGCACACGGAGCGATCTCAGGCGGCGATGTGTGGCTGACACTTGATCAGAATTTTGTTTAAACCCACGAAATCCCGTCTGCAACGACGCGTATCAAGTGAATAAACACTATGCCAATAGTATAATAATAGTTGGCTAGATGTAGGAAGTGCATTGAGAACAACGGTGGCCACGTTGAACACTTGTAAACGTTATTGCTTTTGGCTGTCGTTTTCCCTCCTTCCCTCCCATGTCGCTTCCTCGCGCTAACCCGCTCTGCATCGCTCCGCGCGAAAAGTCGGTCGGTTGGGTTGCCTACATACAGGCGTGAAATTCCAGAAGATAAATTTGGTTCTGGCGCCCTTATTTTAGATTTCCGACCCCAAGTGTCTTATATCAAAATACTCCCCTAGGCACCCCCTATACGCTCCCAAACGGTGGCAGGTACTATAGGAATCACCCTGTATATAGTTACAGTTACAGTTACTTACAAAAATTTGTAACTAGATACAGACTATGTGACTATGTTTACACGGCAAGATAACGCTGGTTTTATAAATCCTGACAACTCCTACTTTAGGTATAGTCGAGGGTATAGTGTTTACACAACTAGTGACCGTTTGCACCAACAAATTTAAGCGGCGCTTAGCTTAAGCGTAGCTTAAAATCCATGGCAATCATTGTCTCAATAATCGTTGTCATGGATTTTAAGCTACGCTTAAGCTAAGCTCCGCTTAAATTTGTCGGTGCAAACGGCCATAGAAGTTATAAATTCGGTTGAATTCGTTTGAAATTAGCATATTAAGAAATCTAGTTACCTTTTTAACAAACGTTCACTTTACTGCTCTCGACTTCACGCGCTTGAATTTGAGGTTGTAAATTTCTGTGTTTGTGTAGCTAAAATAATTGTATCAAAACAAATCATTAAACATTGGAAGTTATTAGCGGTACTTACTATTTTAAGTATTATTCAATCAGATATACGCATTAAGTATCGTCATGTTATGTTTCTCGCTTGAACTGCAATCGCAGTTGGTAGCACAAGCAAATGGGATTTATAAAACTTCGTAGTTTACACGCATAAAAACCAGCGGCTTAATAACATCACGCCTGTGCCACAAGTGGTGTATAGTTATAAAACCAGTTTATATGACGCTGGTTTTACTAAAATTAGGAGTTACAACTCGAGCGTTAGTTACCCTGTAAACGTACTCACAATTTTACAAATTACTTTTTGCTTACCTTGCCATGGCATGGGCGACAACGCCGCGACAGCCATCTTGTGAGTAGTGGTGCGAGACTGGACTGCAAGTTTCCTGTATTATCTTTTAATTTTTATAGTATGTATAAGGTTATCAGGTATCATAGACAGTAACTTCGACATAAAACTTTTTAGGGCATTTTTTTAAAATTAAAAAATGTTTTCTACTACTACTTAAGAATCCCGTCATACTTGCTTTATTTGTAACCAGAATGTCGCTTATTCCCAGCTACTGAAGTGGAATAATTTCATTCCAACTCTTGTGATGGAATGAGCGCATGTAGCGCGACATCTATTATAGGACCTTCTAAATGGCAAACTGTCAACATTTTAATTGCGCTTGAGCGAGCACAAATTAGTTTTGAATTTTAAGTACCTGTAGCGTACATTTACTGAATGTGTACTTTAACCAGTAATAAGTAGATGTACATTTTGGATTACTAAATATAAATGCAACGCGAAAACCTTCTTTAAATTCATCAAGCAACTTTGACATTTCTTTCGCATGCGCAGTGTATGGATCGAGCGTGGTCATTTAGACAAACGTCACTCAAATATGACAGGGATCTGTTATACCAACCCACTGCAGACAGACCTATTAACATGTCGATTGTCTACCGCTAACCCTGGTTAGAATTTTACAATATATTTTGCAACAATTTGTCGTAGTAGTAGAAAAAATTATGTCTATGACTTGTAAGGAATAAGTATTCAACGCTCGTGGAACCGTCCACTCGCGCGGAATATACCCTATTCCTTACTCCTTATAGAATATACGTCCGTCTGCCCGTCCGTCCGTCCGTTCCGCTCCATTTCTGCAGCTTTGAACTATGTACTTTTAGGGGAATTGTATCCATGTCATCTTCAGGCAACTACAATACTAGGTTAAATTCAAGCAATAACCTAGTATTTTAGTTGCCTGAAGATGACATGGTGATTTCGAAACATGTAGCATTTTTCATATTATTAAAGAATATCTCGAAAACGGTTTGTTGGAGCAGAGTACTCACAAAAGCAAAACGAAGCATCTTTACGAGACATATCTATTGGTTAAGTCGAAGTGAATATCTTGAAAACGAGGTGTCAGAAGAGGGACACTGTGGAATAAAAGAATTTGCCCTTGTAAACTTTATCCCAAAGAACTAAGGGGCTAATTTTCCTGGAAACTCAACAAAATCAACAAGAGAGACTCAATTTTGCTAATGAGTTTATTAATGGTTATTTTTCCTGATGAGAAAGCTTTTCAATCGTGCCACAGTGGTCGTGTTGAGTATATTGACCTGTAAATGCACGATATACTGAATGATACGTTCATGCAGTAAAAAGATGCGGCTAT